TTAGCACCTCTCAGACATCCCTCAACTAGATTTGTATAGAGTGCCTCATTTTTTTTTTGGTATTGTTATTGAATGAGCAGTCTCACATAACTAAAAGTCCCAGGTAGCAGGCAAGGGCGATAGTTTGAAGGACTGGAGTAGATGTTTTATGGATGGGAGGCCCAGATGGGATCCTACTCATTGTCTTCTGAGCACTGCAGGGTTCAACACCTAAGCACTGCCTGATGTGGTAAAGAACCAAAAAATAATTTTTCCCCTTAGATAACTGGAATTACTCTTCTAGTAAGCCTCCAGTGATAACTAAATGTTTCAGGTTGAAATTTTGTTCAAACCTATTTCCAATTTAATTTCAATGGTGTGCCTTTACTTTTTCAGAAAAGACGGTCGAAAGTTAATAAGACAAAACATTGATCTATGTATAGTTTCTGTCTTTTTTTTCTTGAAGTACTATTCCCAACGATCTTATCATTTTACATGGTTGTAATGACACAATAGTTATTCTGTATCATGTATTTTTGATTTAACAGGAAACTGTTTATGTTCTTTCTCTGTCACTAAGGGAAATGTCAGTGGTTATGGCAGATGAATCTGAAATGTAGGTAATTCTTATTAGCATATGAACAGTAGGAAGTTAATACTTATAGAACAGTTTACTGTGAATGTTTTTGGTGGGCGAAGGCTTGTCTATGCAGAGAACAGGGATCCAGGATCTTTCCAACTTGTAACTCTGATATCTGGGGACCCTGTAGTCCCTATAAGTCTGTGGCAGGTGGAAAAAGGTTACTAAGAGAAAGGGGCCAAGAAAACATAACTGCTTCTTAGTACCCCAGCCAAAAGGAACACGCCTTCTTTCCATTCCCAGTCTCCCATTAGTTTATCATCTGCTGTGGAAACTGGTCGAGTGGCAGGCCGAGAAGCAAGAGTGTGCTATGTCTTTTAGCCTGTTCGTAGCAACAATTCCACACTGAGGAGGAGAAGCAGAAGTCTTTGTGAACTATTGACCAAGCCCATCAGAGCTGCAAAAGGCTATTGCAATTAGCCTTTTAAGTGACTAAAGATTATCACATAGGTTGCCACATCATACTGTAACAAACAAGTTCTTCACTCTCAAGGATTTATGAAGTTAAAAATTTCTCATTTCGAAGGAATACCACAATAGCAAATACCTGAACATATAGGCCCTTTCTTCCTTCAAGGATAATTTCTTTGAGAATGATTCTGAAAGGGCTACAGAGGTAAACTCATGGAACTGGAGAGCATGCTTTGCATGTGGGAGGCCCTAGTTCAATCCCTGGCATTGCATGGTCCCTAGGAATGACCCCTGATAGTCAACTATCCCTCTGTAGTAGCCCTCTAAGAACAGTAGGGTGTGGTCCAAGTACAAAATGAATAAGAAGAAAGAAGAAAAGGGGTCCTGGGAGATAGCTCCGGTGTTCAAGCACATGCCTAGCACATTTAAGGCCTTGAGATTGGTGCCTTGAACCTCATGTCCTCACCCACATGGTACTGAGCATCTTCCCTAGTGCTTTCAGACCTCTGTTGGGTCAGAGCAGCCTGCATCACTGACCCAAGAACCAGACCAGCGGGCCCCCAGCCAGGCTTAGAACAGCAAGGGATGGTTCCCCAACTCCTTGCTGCTGAGGTTAGCACCTATCAATTTTTTTTAAAGAAGCTCATGTAATTCAGAAATATTAGACTTAGAAGCTACAAATACTTTTCACATTCTTGAATCCACAAACCTTTTTCTTCAAAGCTACAGCTAAGTTATACTATTATTGACTTGTCCAGATTTTTTACATTGTCTGCTTCAAGTTACTAACTAAATTGAATTATATGAGTAAAAACATTTTCACAAGAACGCATGGAACACACTTGATCATGGCTCTGGATAATAAGATGAGTGTAATAATACCCCAGTGTCTTTTCTGTCTTCAAAAATGGGATCACCAGCAATCAAATTTTAATGTAGAAAGCTAGAGTCCATTTTTTTCCCTAATGTCTCTGTATTGGTGATTCATTGCTGTGCAAAAAATGGTAACAGAACTTAGTGACTTACAACAAGAACAAACATCACACAGTTTCTGTGTCGCAGGAGATGGGTTATTTTAAATAGGGAACTCTCATGAGGTCACAGTCACCTATTAGTGGGAGCTTTGGTATCTGAAGGCTTGATGGGGCCTGGGAAGTGGATTCTGATGATTGGCAAGATGCCTCAGTTCTACTCCAGAAATGTGCGTACATAGGACTCAAATTTCTTCATGACCTGGTGACTGGTGTCCCTGGGGGATGTGATCCAAGAAAGGAACCTTGTACACAATGCTGTCAAGAGTGCTTTCGCTGATTAGGTGAAATTGGAACAAAAACTCAAACATAATACTGGGGTCAGAGTGCTCTAAGCAGGGGAAAGAGCAAAGGCAGAGGTCTTGATTGTATTTTATGTGTTTAAGGAATAATAAACCAGATCGTGTGAACAGAGTGAGGGAGGAAACTGGAGGATGATGATAAGGGTCTTACAAGACTTGGGTTGGCTTCACCTTGGGTTAGTGGCAGGCAAGGATAATCATCAGAGAGTTCTACCAGTATGTCATGGCTTGGACTGCTCTGTCCTTGGTCTTCTAAAATGTAATGGCAACCAGGTCTTGCTTCCACTGCTTAAAGCACCAGTGCTCTGTTCCTACAGCAATTAGAATAAAATCCAAGTCTCTTTAGCTCTTACTAGTGTTGTTATTGTGACTATTCAATTTGAAATCTCATTAATTTCTAGTTTAGCCCCTACTCATTTCCTTACCAACATGAATTCAACTTTATTGTTAATACTTTATAATATGCCTCCTCTGCGCAAAAAGATGTACTCTGAGGATGTTGTGTAAGGTTCTTTCTAACTATGTCATTGCAGGAGTGCCTTAGTTTTTGAGTTCCTTCCCTCCCTCCCTCCCTCCCTCCCTCCCTTCCTTCCTTCCTTCCTTCCTTCCTTCCTTCCTTCCTTCCATCCTTCCTCTCCTCCTTCCTTCCTTCCTTCCTTCCTTCCTTCCTTCCTTCCATCCTTCCTCTCCTCCTTCCTTCCTTCCTTCCTTCCTTCCTTCCTTCCTTCCTTCCATCCTTCCTCTCCTCCTTCCTTCCTTCCTTCCTTCCTTCCTTCCTTCCTTCCTTCCTTCCATCCTTCCTCTCTTCCTTCCTTCCTTCCTTCCTTCCTTCCTTCCTTTCTTCCTTCCTTCCTTCCTTCCATCCTTCCTCTCCTCCTTCCTTCCTTCCTTCCTTCCTTCCTTCCTTCCATCCTTCCTCTCCTCTTTCCTTCCTTCCTTCCTCCCTTCCTTCCTTCCTTCCTTCCTTCCTTCCTTCCTTCCTTCCTTCCTCCCTCCCTTCCTTCCTTCCTTCCTTCCTTCCATCCTTCCTCTCCTCCTTCCTTCCTTCCTTCCTTCCTTCCTTCCTTCCTTCCATCCTTCCTCTCTTCCTTCCTTCCTTCCTTCCATCCTTCCTCTCCTCCTTCCTTCCTTCCTTCCTTCCTTCCTTCCTTCCTTCCTTCCTTCTTCTCCTCCTTCCTTCCTCCCTTCCTCCCTTCCTTCCTTCCTTCCTTCCTTCCATCCTTCTTCTCCTCCTTCCTTCCTCCCTTCCTCCCTCCCTTCCTCCCTTCCTTCCTTCCTTCCTTCCTTCCTTCCTTCCTTCCTTCCTTCCTCCCTTCCTTCCATCCTTCCTCTCCTCCTTCCTTCCTTCCTTCCTTCCTTCCTTCCTTCCTTCCATCCTTCCTTCCCTCCTTCCTTCCTTCCCTCCCTCCCTCATTCCTTCCCTTCCTCTTTCCTTCCTTCCATCCTTCCCTCCCCTAGTGGTGCTCAAAGTTCTGTTCCTGGTAACCTCAGGGGGACACATATGTTGCCATTGATTTTGTGCAAGACAAACACTGTAACCCCTGTTCTATTCCTCCAGCCCCTGTTGCTTTTTTTTTTAACAAGGCAGTTTTGTAGTCTGACCCCACCATGGGTGACCCATAGAGCTATGGCCTCCTTGACTGGGCAGTTTTTTCAATGGTTGTGGCATGTGCAGCCACTTAGTAACACAACTAGAATCCCTGCCTTTGAGAACATAATTGTACCTAGCACAGTTAAAACACACCTGCGGATGACAGATTGTAGTTAGTTAGGATCCTTCCAGTGTGGATTTGTATTGAGGCAGAGAGTGTGGGTAATGCCAGGAAGTACTCATTTCTTTTTTCCTTGTGTTGCTAGCATGTTCACACAGAGAGTATCTGAGCCAGGGACAAACTAAGAACTTGTGTGGTTCAGGCTAACCCCTAGGTCATCAAAAACAGATGTTTCAAACAGCTGCAAACCACCAAGACAGATACAAATGACAGGTTAATAAATGAACACTACTCTGAAGTTGGGCTGGAGCGATAGCACAGTGGGTAGGGCTTTTAGACCGACCCGGGTTTGATTCCTCTGTCCCTCTCGGAGAGCCCGGCAAGCTACCAAGAATATCCCGCTGCGTGGCAGAGCCTGGCCAGCTCCCCGTGGAATATTCAATATGCCAAAAACAGTAACAACAAATCTCACAATGGAGACGTTACTGGTGCCCACTCGAGCAAGTCGATGAATAATGGGAGGACAGTGCTACACTGTTATTCTGAAGTGATAGTGCAACAGATAGGGTGCTTCCCAGTGGCTGAACCCGGTTCCATCCCCAGCACCCATATGGTTTCCTAAGCACCAACTGCCAAGAGAGATCCTTGAGCACAGAGCCAGGAGTAAGCCCTGAGCACCACTGGGTCTAATCCGCAAACAAGCAATTAATTCATTAAATTAATTAAAATAACCACTATATATAGACGTCCTAAGTATTCCTGGAGAAATTTGGCAGGAGAAGCAATACCAAGGCTCTATCTGTCTCTCCCAGAACTCCAATCTAAAGCTTACTGAACTCTTTCGAGCAACTGATTATAGACCAAGAGCCTGTTGAAATGCCTTCATGCACCTGGATTGAGATTTTTTTTTTCCTGGTTGATCTAGATTGGGCGACTGATTATTGGACAGAATGGCATCTTGTCTACCCCAGCTGTTTCGTGCATTATCAGAAAGATCAAGGCTGCAGGAGGGATCATCCTGACAGCCAGCCACTGCCCTGGAGGACCAGGAGGAGAGTTTGGAGTGAAGTTTAATGTTGCCAATGGAGGTAAGTCGTTCAGAATATAACTCCCCAATCATGTTTTCTTTTCTCTTGTTGTTTCATTGTAACCACCCTCTGATGGTACACCAGCAAGTTAGACAGGAAAGAGCTTAAAAAAATCCAATGAGTCCCAGTTTTCCAGAGAGGCAGAACTAAAAGGACCTACAGAGATTTATGAACAGGAATGGACTCATCTGATCGTGAAGGCTGAAAATCCCCAAGTTCTGTCACTGGCAAGCTGGAGACAAGGAGAACTGATGTGATTCAATTTAAAAAATAAATTTAAAAATAACCAAAAAAAAAAAAGAGAGAGAACAATTACCATGTGTTTTGTAGCAGTTATTTTAGAGGCAACATGAACCTGAACAGTACAAGTGACCAATCGAACGTCCTTCCTGGGAACCATAGGGAACCATGTATATAGGCTGTGTATTTTATTATATCATTCATGCTTTCATTTTATGTGAATGTTAATGTAGGCTTTTGTCTGTTCTTTGGTATGATTTCCTAGGTACTGTTTGGGACCTGGAAATGCTCCGCTTCTCCGCCCCACCCCATAAATTAGTGGTAATTGCTTCTGTACGGCATTTTGCATTACGAAAGTTTTCATAGGAAGGCTCTACTTTCAGATAGAGAGGGAACCTGTATCGATGTTGCCATGCGCAACAACAATTTCCAGGAAGCATTGAAATTAATATCTGATCTTATGCTTTGCAAGAAAAGTATCTCTGTGACATTCTCCGGGACATCAAAGGAAAAGATGTTATTTGAATGCCCATTGGCAGTTGTAATGATATGAGCTTATGAGACCTATTCAGGATCTCTCTCATTTCATTTTCATTTTCATCATCCTGTTAATCGTCGATTGCCTCGAGCAGGCCCCAGTTACGTCTCCTTCGTCCTAGCCCTGAGATTTTTTTTTTTAAAGTGCCATATTCAAGGCTCTTTCAGGGTTAGGAGAATGAGACCCATCATTGTTACTGGTATTTGGCATATTTGGTACGCCACGGGGAGTTTGCCAGACTCTGCCCTGTGGGCAGGCTACATTCGATAGCCTGCAAGTTTGTCCAAAGTAGGAATGAGACAATAAGATGTCATAAAGAAAAGTTTTGATAAGATGTCACGCGGCCGCGAATGCGGCCGCGCGGTTCCGGGATCTGGATTTTATAGTCTCTGAGTCTTGGCCGCTGATGGGATTACACGGCGCCAGGGGGCCAGGTGGTGGGTGTGACCCCCGCCTACTGGAATTTGGAGGATCTGGGTGGAAGATGCTCGACTCCAATTCGAGTAGGCTTGGAGGTCTCGGCCCCGGAACCCGCGTGGGTTCTTTATATGTGGAATATAAAAAAATAGCGAGGGAACAACAAAGGACCACAGGCAATGGAACTGGAGAACTTGGTCTACAAAGCTGATCTTATCTTTTTTCTTTTTAGCTTTATAAACTTATTTTTTTATTCACAATGCTCTTTCACCAGAGAACTTTGTACACAACCCCGGGTATAGTGGCATAAAAATAGTTGTAACAAATCACACATTTACTGATAATAAATAATAAAGTTATTTTTAAAACTAATTTTTTTTTCTTTTTTTATTAGTGAAAAACCATGAGGTACAGTTATAGGCTTACAAATTTTGTGCTTGGGTTTCAGTTATACAATGATCAAGTGCCCATCCCGCCACCAGTGCCCGTCATCCATCACCACGGGTCCCAGCATCCCCCCCACCCTCCATCCCTCCCCCCCCCCCCCCCGTCCCATCCTGCCTCTGTGGCAGGGTATTCCCCCTTGTTCTCTCTCTCTTCTTTTGGGTACTGTGTTTTGCAAGAGAGGCATTGAGTGGCAATCATGTTTGGTCTATCGACTACTTTTAGCATGCTTCTCCCACCCTGGGAGGGCCCTCACAACACCCTTCATTTGGTACTCTCTTCTCTATCTGAGCTTCCTTTTCACCTAGAGCCTGTGGCTGGCCTTCCATTCATGGAGCAAAATTCCTGGTACTAATCTCAGCCATTCCTGGGTGTTACTCTCCCTTTTTGTTGCTTTATGTTCCCCAGATGAATGCAATCTTTCTGTGTCTATCCCGCTCTTTCTGACTCATTTCGCTTAACATGATACTTTCCATGTAGTACCACTTGTATGTAAATTTCATGACTTCGTCTTTTCTAACAGCTACATAGTACTCCATTGTGTAGATGTACCAAAGTTTCTTTAACCAGTCATCTGTTCTCGGGCACTCAGGTTTTTTCCAGATTCTGGCTATTGTAAAGAGTGCTGCAATGAACAAACAATTGCAGATGTCACTTCGACTATACCTTTTTGACTCTCTGGGATATATTCCCAGGAGTGCTATAGCTGGGTCAAATGGCAGATCAAATTCTAATTTTTTGAGAGTCGTCCATACTGTAAAACTAAATTTTAAAGTTACGTGACTAAAAAGTTTTGTGACCTCATATGGAATTAAGACCCACAGTTAGCAAAGCTTATTGGGGCATGGATGTACATAAAGGTGCATCTTTAGTAAGTAGCTAAACTAAGATATTTACTGAGAATGAATTGCACATGATAAGTCCTATCTGTTCATTGTGAGACATATGAACAAGCTGATTGCTGTTTCTAAGTATCTGGTTCCTATCTTATTTTCCATAGTTTTATTTTATTTTTACCTCAAGCTGATCTTATCTTGGAGGGGAGGTTGAGGGTGGAGTTGAGAAGTGAGAAAGGGAGGGGTCCTTGAGATATTGGTGGGGAGAAGCAGGAGCCATGGTAGCGGGTGTGGTGTTGGAACAATGTACGCCTGAAACTATCACTAACACTGTTGTAAAATCATGGTACATCAATAAAAGTTGGGACCATGAAAGATCTATTTTGCCATCCCCTCAACGGGAGAAAGTGCTTAGAATTGAACTCTTAAGTATGTTGAAAGTCATTCTTTCTTACTTTTAATTGTTCATTTTTTTTATGTCTTGGCATATTTAACAAAGCTACAATTCCTTGTGTCCTAAAGAGATTCATCTAGTTTTTCCTACTCCAAGTAGAGTAAGTTCTACTGAGATAGCCTTCATTTGAGGAAGATATTTTATCTCTTCCTGTGTTCTAAATAGTTATCTAAAGAACTGAGTTAGAGGGTTAAGAGTTTATAGAACTAAAAGGCACATCTAGGGAAATGTGATAAGACCTGGACTTATGTTGCTTTTAAAGTATATTTAGGGGCTGGAGAAATAGCACAGCGAGTAGGGCATTTGCCTTACACGTGGCTGACCCGGGTCCGATTCCCAGCATCCCATATGGTCCCCTGAGCACCACCAGGAATAACTCCTGAGTGCAGAGCCAGGAGTAACCTCTGTGCATCATCGGGTGTGACCCAAAAAGCAAAAAAAAAGTATATTTAGAGGGTAGTATACCATTTGGAAAACATTTTAAAGGAGAGGGACAGATTCTAGAGGTGGAATGGAATCAATAATCAAAATACTGATTTACTTTTTATTTGCAGGGACCATATTCATTGCATACACAACTTACTTAATTTCAGTTACGACCCAGTGAAGTCACTAAGGAATAAAATTTAACAAAACAAAACCAATTAATAATTGTGAAAATCTCTCAGGACTTAGTTCTAGGAGGGAGGTGGAACTTCTTGATAAGACGGGGGTAGAAGCAAGTTGGAGGGATGCAGAGTGGAAGTTTGGGGGAATAATCTGCATCTGTTTGAAAGTCTAAGAAGAAACTTGCTACCAGAATAATGGAGCAGAAACAAAAAAGGAACAGGTAAATGGAGATGTTTTGTCACGGTCACGGTCCTCCCATTATTCATCGATTAGCTCTAGCAGGACCAGTTAACGTCTCCATTGTGAGACTTGTTGTTACTGTGTTTGGCATATTGAATGCGTCATGGATAGCTTGCCAGGCTTTACCGTGCAGGTGAGATACTCTCGGTAGCTTGCCAGGCTCTCCGAGAAGGGTGGAGGAATAGAACCCGGCTCCACCGGGCCGGCTGCGTGCAAGGCAAACGCCCTACTGCTGTGCTATCGCTCCAGTAGCATTGGAAAATTTCTTTCTTTGTTTTTTTTTTTTTTTTAGCATTGGAAAATTTCTTAAGGATTTCTGAGAAGTCAAGAGGACTAAGGTGAAATGAAAGCACTTTATTATTAGTGGAAGCCAGTTGGTGTGATTTTGTGACTATTTTCAGAAACACAGGGGAGTCTGGCATGGGGGCAGTAGAGATAATGGTAATGTCCTGGGGTAGGAAAGGCAGAATGAGATGCATGGCAGAGTGTAAGGAGGCTGGGCTGGTAGTTGTTAAGAATGCCTGAATGGAAATCAGACTTTTAGGATTGATGTCCTGTTGTTGTTAATTACAAATGTTGTGGTCTTGGTTTAGGTATTCTACTTCTTTCAGTTTCAATTTCCCTACTTGAAAAATGAGAATAATAATAATGATGATTGCATTTGGCGAGTGCTAAATTTCTCAGAAAATCATGGATCATGGAATTTGTATGTTTCCCTGTTGTACTGTTCTAAAATAGACTTGACTCAAGTGGTGGACCATAATATCCTGCCTGGGATAAGAGTTTCGAAAGGACAAACAAAGAAATTAGACTGCGTTCATGATTTTTGGATACATCAGATGATAATTGGTATAAGTACAGAATGGAGGTAGGTTAAGCAGAGGTACAGGGTGACTGGAAGAAATGGAGTTTGTGGACTGATGAAACTTAAAAACTTGACTTGGAAAGAAGAATTTCAAGACACAGAATTTAAGGCCTGACTTATTAGGCATTGAATAAAGTCAATTATAGCATATTCATATGACTAGCTACACTTCACATGCCCAGTAGCCATGCATGCTTAGTTACTGGACAGTGTAGTTATAAAGGTTGGATATAGAATAAATCAAGAATTTTTTTCTGTTTAGAAGAAAGTTGGTGGGTAAGATTCAAATACAAAATTATTTATCTATCATGTACATTTAGAGCTTTCAATTCACTTGTTTATTTAAACCCCCAACTTTTTTGTCTTTTGCTTTTTGGGTCACACTCAGCGATGCTCAGGGGTTACTCCTGGCTCACGCACTCAGGAATCACTCCTGGCAGTGCTTGGGGACCATATGGGATGCTGGGAATCGAACCTGTGTCGGCCATGTTGGCTGCGTGCAAGGCAAACGCCCTACCCGCTGTGCTATCGCTCCAGCCCTAAACCCCCAACTTTTGGCAAAAAAAAAAAAATCTAAGCAGCCTTGCATTTATGATGTATAAATTGAAAAGGGAAGAAACAAAGGAAAGAAACAAAGGGAGAACTAATATTGAATTTATCTTTAATTTGTTTAAAGTCTGCTATAGTTATCAATTTAATTTTGTTAGGAAATAGATCAAATACTTCTAGCTAAACCCTGTTGAAAGATCTTGGGTGTGAATCAGAGAGATACACAGTGGGGAAAGTGCTTGCCTTGCGAGTAGTCAACCCAGATTCAATGCCTGGCATCACATAGAGTCTCCTGGGCCCTGCCAGCCATGATACCTGAGCACAACCAGGTATGGCCCCCAAACCAACACAACACAGCACAACACAACAACAACAACAACAAAAAGACACTTGGTGGTCCCTAGAAAGTGTGGGTAGAAAAAAAATTATCTTGTTAAATCCACACTCTAACTAACAGGTTAATAGGAATTCTATTCCCAGACCTGTCTTTCTCTAGATGGGAAGTTGCACTTTAAATCTGGAATCCCTCACTTCTGTCAAGCATGTATCCTGTTTGTGTCTCATATCCTGAATAAAACTGATTGCATAATCAGGACTCCCTGGCAGGTGTGAAACTATTTTTAGGGAAGACGTATCATTGCTTAGAAGTGGAGTAAAACAAACAAACGATTGGGCTATTAGCCTACATATAGCAGGTGAGACTGACCAAATTTCCCCTCCATTAGTGGATGACTCCAGCATTAAAAAAAAAAAAACCAGAAACCAAGGCTAATGGAATTGTGAACTGTTGTCCATTGTTTAGAGAACAAATGAATCTTTCTTCTGCTGGCCGGTGGAGGAAGAGGTAACTAACATTCAAAGGAGGGCGCTGAATGAAATATGAAGCCCTTTAAAAAGATTTATTTTTGATAGTGCTCTACTTTCACATTTTAGGTCCTGCACCGGATGTTGTCTCAGATAAAATCTATCAGATCAGCAAAACAATTGAGGAATATGCCATCTGTCCTGATCTTCGAATCGACCTATCTCGACTAGGAAGGCAAGAATTTGACCTGGAGAACAAATTTAAACCATTTAGAGGTAATAGATTATGTTCTGAAGAAGTAGAATCACTTTTTGGATGGGAGTGACTCTGGTTTCTGCAGACAAGGGACCTGTGAACGCTCTTGAATTATCTGTCCACTGTGACTCCTGTTATTCACATGGAAGCTGATAGTGGAACAGAGAGAGAACAGCCAAAGCCTTTAGAACTGGCAATGTTCTAGAACGTATTCACCGTATGAGATGTTCAACACAGACAAAGTTTCAGGATTTATTCCAAGAATAAGCTGTGACTTGCCACAATGTACCTTCATTTTTCTAATAAAAAAATGAAGATGCTGGTATAAATATTTTTGTTAAGAAAAACAATGAAAATGGGCTATGCAGTGGATTTAGATTTGATGTATAATTGTTTGTTATCTGCTTATGCTAAGCATGTATTGGGAGAGTTTGCAAAGGAATTCAGTACACTAAATGGATTCAGGGAAGTGACTAAAAATTAGAAGATCACGGGACCTGGAATATGACTCAAAGGTGGAAAATGCGTGATTGTGAGGTCACCCTCCCCCCCAATCCCTGCTGACCTCTTGTGTTGAGGTGATAAGGACAGTCCCATTTTTGTGATTCCTTGTCCTGGAACAGGGGTTTGGTGCTGAAACCACTTCCTCATCAATTTCAGGATTGTGAGTTTGAACCCTAATGCTATAAGCTATTAAGGATCTAAGCTATTAAGGGCCCTGAAGATGCCTCAGTGACTTAGGAAGTACCCAGGGCAAGTATGAGGTTGTGCATGAAGCATGTAATTTTTATTCTATTTTATTTTTTAAAAATTTTTTGGCTTTTTGGGTCACACCCGGTGATGCACAGGGGTTACTCCTGGCTCAGGAGTTACCCCTGGCGGTGCTCAGGGGACCATATGGGATGCTGGGAATCGAACCCGGGTCGGCCGTGTGCAAGGCAAACGCCCTACCTACTGTGCTATCACTCCAGCCCGAAGCATGCAATTTTTAAATTTAAAGAATTTTTTCTCTTACATTTTTCCATTTATTTTTTCATTGCATCACAGTGATTTACTCGAGCGGGTCCAGTAACGTCTCCATTGGAGACTTTGTTGTCACTGTGATAAACACATTGACATAGTTGTTCATGATTGTGTTTCAGTCATATAATGTTCTAACACCCAGCCCTTCACCAATGTGCTTTTCACACCACCACTGGTCTGAGTTTCCTTCTTCCTCCTCCACCCCTTCATCCCACCACCTTCCATTACGGCAGGCACTTTTCTTCTCTCTCTCCTTCTGTTTCTCTCTTTTGGGCCTCAGAGTTTGCAATACAGATAATGAAAGGTTATCAGGTATATCCATTGACCTGTGCCCTTCACCACCGCTCCCCCACCCTTGTGGCAAGCTTCCAACCACTGGCCTGTCCTCCTGGCCCCTGTTTACCCTCACCTTGGATATTAGTCTCAATATATATATATTTATATATATATGTGTGTGTGTGTGTGTATCACGATCACGATCACGACCATCCTGTTGTTTGTCGATTGCCTAGAGCAGGCCCCAGTAACGTCTCCTTCGTCCTAGCCCTGAGATTTTTTAAAAAGTGCCATATGCAAGGCTCTTTCAGGGTTAGGAGAATGAGACCCTTCATTGTTACTGGTATTTGGCATATTGGGTCCGCCACGGGGAGTTTGCCAGACTCTGCCGTGTGGGCAGGTTACATTCGGTAGCCTGCCAGGTTGTCCAAAGTAAGAATAAGATAATAAAATGTCGCTTCCGGGAGCTGGGTTTTATAGTCTCTGTGTCTTGGCCGTTGATGGGATTGCACAGCGCCAGGGGGCTAGTTGGTGGGTGTGACCCCTGCCTAGTGGAAGATGGAGGATCTGGGTGGAGGATGCTCAGCCTGATCCGAGCAGGCTTGGAGATCTTAGCCCTGGGACCCGCATGCCTTTGTTCCTCTGCTAGTACCTTCATGCGTGTGGAGAGTGGTCTCAGCATGGTGGTGGCTGGTTCTGGAGGTCTTCAGCTGCTGGAGCCCTGGTCAGGGTGGGGAGGGAATCTCAAACAGCTCCCCTCCAAGGGGCCCCGGTGAGGACAGCTCATATATATATGTATATGTATATATATGTATATATATATATGTATATATATACATCCCCAAAATAAATGCAGTCATTCTATATCTGTCCCGCTCCTTCTGATTCATTTCACTCAACACAATACTCTCCATGTCCACCCATTTATAAGCAAATTTCATGACTTCATTCTTCCTAACAGCTGCATAGTATTCCATTGTGTAGACGTACCATAGTTTGTTTATTCAGTTATCTGTTCTTGGGCACTGGGTTTTTTTTCAGATTCTGGTTATTGTGAATGGTGCTGCAATGAACATCAAAGTGCAGATGACATTTCTGCTGTGTGAAATGTGTAATTTAAGTTAAAAATAGATGACATGGGGCTGGAGCGATAGCACAGTGGGTAGGGCGTTTGCCTTGCACGCAGCCAACGTGGCCGACACAGGTTCGATTCCCAGCACCCCATATGGTCCCCTGAGCACCGCTAGGAGCAATTCCTGAGTGCATGAGCCAGGAGTAACCCCTGAGCATCACTGGGTGTGACCCAAAAAGCAAAAAAAAAAAAAAGATAGATGACATACCTGGCTTATGATCACTTAGTATTTTAGCTATAGAGAAGAGCTTGGCTGTTCAGGGGTGACTATGTTGAGCTCGCATCCTATATTTTTCTAGAAAGATTTTGAGTCAATTGCTTGCTTAGTTATTCTGCTGAAATGAATTGAAAACCACATGATACTTATAAAAATTGGTCTGCTTTAATGAATCTAGTTGGGAACATATACACACAATGGTTTGACAACTAAAACAAAGGGTTATATTTTAAATAACTAAAATATGCCTGATTACTTGTTTGGAAAAACTGGGCAATAAAATAATAAAAATTGGACCTTACCATTAGGAAGCAGTTACTTTATTTTTTTATTTATTTATTTTTTAATTTTTTTATTAGTGAAACTCCATGTGGTACAGTTGTTGACCTTACAAGTTTTTGTACTTGGGTTTCAGTCATACAATGATCGAGTACCCATCCCTCCACCAGTGCCCATTGTCCACCACCAATGATCCCAGTAACCCTCCCACCCCTCCCAGACCCCCATCCCATGCCACCTCTGTTGCAGGGCATTCCCTTTTGTTTTCTCTCTCCTTTTGGTTGCTAAGGTTTGCAAAAGAGGCATTGAGTGGCAAACATGTTCGACCTATAGTCTACTTTCAGCATGCATCTTCCATCCTGGGAGAATCCTCCCACAACCCTTTACTTTGTATTCCCTTCTCTGTCTGAGCTGCCCTTTCCCGTAGCATGTGAGGCTGACCTTCAAGCCATGAAGTAAACCTCCTGTAGCTTATGTTGACTATTCTAGGATGTTGGTCTGGAAGGAGTTACTTTAATTCATGTCATTTATTTACTAATAACAAACAAACAAACAACAAACACTGTCTTCCTGTTGTTCATTGATTTGCTGGAGCGGGCCCAGGAATGTCTCCATTTTTCTGAGACTTGTTGTTACTGTGTTTGGCATATCGAATACGCCACGGGGAGCTTGCCAGGCTCTGCTGTATGGGCGAGATACTCTCGGTAGCTTGCCAGGCTCTCTGAGAGGGGCGGAGGAATTGAACCTGGCTCGCCCGGGCTGGTTGCATGCAAGGCAAACGCCTTACCGCTGTGCTATCGCTCCAGCCATTTACTAATAAATGCATCATTTAATTTTGGGTATCTTCACAATTTGTCTACCTGACTAAGAGACCCACATCTTTGGTGAACTCAAGGTTCAGACCCAGATTCCTCAGTCAGTGGTAGTTTGATGAGTTTTTCAAAATGCAGTAGGTACCTGAAAATGGGTAGAGGTACTCGTTGGCTCCCAAGAATTTGAAGATAAATGTTAGAGATGATTTATATGCCGTGAACTTGCCATTTTAAATGTTGAGCAAGGCTTGAGTTAATTGAAAACAAATTAGTCCTAGGTATTTCATGTAAAAGGTCAGTTGTTCGGGCTCTTTGATGTAAACTTTCAATTTTCACTGAATTCTAATTTGCCTCCTTCCTGTTTTTTTTTTAATCAACCCTTCTTAAAAATATTCTTGTTGCTGTAGAAAATAGAGCAGGTAGCATGGTTCTAAATAGTTGCCCCATTGTTCTTTGTCATTAGCAAGTTCATAGTATAATGATAAGTAATTTTTTCATAGAAAGATAAAGTTGTTGGTACATCTACACAATGGAGTACTATGTAGCTCTTAGAAAAGATGAAGTCATGAAATTTACATACAAGTGGTACAATATGGAAAGTATCATGCTAAGCGAAATGAGTCAGAAAGAGAGGGATAGACATAGAAAGATTGCATTCATCTGAGGGATATAAAATAACAAAATATGAGATTAATACCCAAGAATAGCTGAGATCAACACCAGGAGGATTACTCCATAGCTTAAAGGCCAGCCGGGTATTCTAGGGGAAAGCGCAGTTCAGATAGAGAAGGGAGCACCAAATAAAGGGTGTTTGGAGGATACTCCCAGGAGAGGAGATGCATGCTGAAAGTAGACTATGGACTGAACATGATTGCCACTCAATGCCTCTTTTGCAGACCACGACACCCAAAAGGAGAGAGAGAACAGGGGGGAATGCCCTGCCACAGTGGCAGGGTGGGATGGGGGGGTGGGGGGGAGGGATATTATCCATGGTGGCGGAAAATGGGCACTGGTGGAGGGATGGGTATTTGATCATTGTATAAATGAAACCCAAGCACAAAATTTTTAAATCTACAACTGTACCTCATAGGTGTTTCACTAATAAAAAAAAAAAGAAAGATAAAGTTGAAGAAATAAAATAGGGACATTAAGCAGGATAAAATGAAATATGTTTTCCTTCCCTTTATTCAGAGAGGTGTTAACCCTAGGTTCTGAGTACTAATTGCCTACTCATAAGTGAACTTGTGTTTACTTGAATTGAATTGTGAAAACTTCCCCTGTTGCTTTACAGATGTCAGATATGCCTTTTCCTTATCAGGGTGTCACGTACATATCTTGACTGCATTTAAATGTTCCATCTTATGCCTTGTCCTTACAATTCACTATTATCTAGTATAGTATGCATTCTGGAGTTCCAATCATAAAAATTATCGTAGCTCTGCAAAATACAACTTGGAGGACTGTGCCAGTTGAAACAAAACGTGAAGCCAAACTGACAACCAGTTTTGCTTTTTTAATCTTTTTTGGCTGCAAAATTTCCTATGTCCAATTAGTTATTTGACAAAAATTGCTCATGGCCAAGAGCTTGAATTTATGGGACGTGCTGCTTGTACATGACAAATATCCTTGGGCAAGTGGCTCCAAGAATGAAAGACTTGCAATATGATTGCCCAAAATATCCAATATTCTAGAGTATGTGAAACTCTTTTTTTTTTTTTGCTTTTGGGTCACACCCGGTGATGCACAGGGGTTACTCCTGACTCTGCACTCCTGGAGTTGCTCAGGGGACCATATGGGATGTTGGAAATTGAACCTGGGTTGGCCGCGTGCAAGGCAAATGCCCTACCCTCTGTGCTATTGCTCCAGCCCCAAGTATGTGAAACTCTTAGTGAATTCTCTAGATAAGCTTTTATAGGCAAGTGGCTCAAGAACAAAAGAACAGCAATATGATTGCCCAAAATATCCAGTATTCTAGAGTATGTGAAACTCTTAATGAATTCTCTATATCAGCTTTTACTTAATAGACCTACGTTTCGGGGGACGGGGGCGGAGGCACACCCAGTAGTCCTCAGGGCTGATTTCTGGCTTTGCAGTCAGGAATCATTCCTGACTGATGCCACGAATTGAACCTGGTTCAGCTGCATCCAAGGCCAGTGCCCTATCCGCTGGACTATGATCTACTTTTTATGCTGACCACACCCAACAGTGCTTGGGGGTCAGCAGGGCTATAGCCAGGATCTTGGGGAGTGTGTGTGTAAGGAGCCAGCTTAGGACCTCAACACATGTGCTGTACCACTTGAATATATGCCTGATACCTGATTAAAAAAAATTATGGTAAAACATGCAAAACATAGTTATAACCTAGCACTTTAGGATCATATCAATTACTTTTGAATTATTTTTATATTAATATTATCATCCAAAAGATGATTATGAGCTATCTACATGCCTTAAAAAGAAAAGTAAAAAAAAAGTAAAAAAAAGAAAAAAAAGAAAAGTAATTATACCAATTAATTATTTTCTTTTCAGGGTCTCCCATGCAGTTCTCAGGAGGCACAAGGGCACCTTTCAGTAATTCTCAGCTCCCCAGGCTCGCAGTTTCATGTGCACCCTGCAGTGATAGGAACTACCAGGGTCACCCCATTGGTACTGGGTGGGTGCCTCCAGGGCTGCACCCATGAACACTTAGGGGCCATGTGTCGCTAGGGATTGAAATGGAGTTCACTGCATGCGGGATATGCAGCTTAACCCCCCTACATTATTGCTTTAGCCTAATTACATCTATTATTTTATTTATGGACTGGAGCTATAGCACAACAGTAGGGCGTTTGCCTTGCACACAGCCAGCCCGGCAGAGTTGGGTTCAATTCCTCCGCCCCTGTCAGAGAGCCCGGCAAGCTACCAAGAGTATCTCACCCGCACGGCAAAGCCTGGGAAGCTACCTGTGATGAATTCAATATGCCAAACACAGTAACAAGTCTCAAAAATGGAGACGTTACTGGGCCCGCTCGTGCAAATCTATGAACAACGGGAGGATGGTGATGGTGATGATGATTTTATTTATGTACTTACTTATCTATGGGTTTCGAACCACACTGATGGTGCCAGGGATCACTCCTCACAGCGCTCAGGGGACCAGATAAGTTGTCAGGGACTGAACCTGGCTTGACCATGCAAGCACCCCAACTACTGTACTATCTTCTTGGTCTGTAACTACAACTGTACTTTGATACATGTACTTTGTTGATATTGGTGCAAAGAAAAATATTTTCTAACTATATATTTGATGAAATGAAGTGGTAGTTTACATTATCTATTAAAATATCATCCATTGGACTAAAGAAAATCTTGTACCTGGAACTGATGAAAGTTATCAAAGTTTGATTAGTAATATTGTTAGTAAGGGTTTCACAACTCCAAGGTAGGTTTTATTTGAGAGTGGAAAAACAATATACTTACGTTCCAAATTTTAACTACACAATTAGACAGCAGGATTCTGAACTAATCTTACTGCCTAAAGAGGAAACTATTTACTATTTCTAGGAAAAATATTTGTGGTGATTGATTATGTACTGATGCTCAAGTTTGAAAAACAAACGTATTGTGGATTTTTATGTATTTACCTGTCCAAAATGGAAAAGACTTGAATTTCTGCTCACTGATTTGTACGGAACACTGGAGGACATTTGTTCCAATGACAAGTTTTGGCATTAACCCTTAAGTATCCCATTGGTAATAGGATGCAGTGCATGACACTTCATCTAAATTTAAGAATATGTTCTTTGTGCCAGTTCTGATACTTGATCTAGTGGGCAAAATAGGGGTCATTGCTCAAGTTACTCCATGATTTGTTTTCTACCAGTTATGTCAATTTTTGGCCAGTCTCATAGTAAAGATAACTGGTATGTCAGATACCATTTTTTTGGCTTTGTTTTGTTTTGTTGGTGCTCAGGGCTTACTCTTGGCTCTGTGTTCAGGGATCACTCCTGGCGGGACTAGAGGGACCATCTGGGATCCCAGGGATTGAACTTATTGAACTTGGGTCAGTCACATGAAAGGCAAGACCGCTACCCACTGCACTCTCTTCAGCCCCTACAAAAATACCTTTTTTTAAAATTTTGCTTTTTGGGTCACACCTGGCGATACACAGGGGCACAGGGGTTACTCCTGGCTCATGCAGTTAGGAATTACTCCTGGCGGTGCTCGGGGAACCATATGGGATGCTGGGAATCGAACCCGGGTCGGCTGCGTGCAAGGGAAATGCCCTACCGGCTGTGCTATCGCTCCATCCCCCCAAATACCTTTTTTTCTTATAGCACAGCGGTAGGGCGTTCGCCTTACAAGCGGCCAACATGGCCGACCCGAGTTCGATTCCTCCGCCCCTCTCGGAGAGCCCGGCCAGCTACCGAGAGTATTCGATATGCCAGACACAGTAACAACAAAGTCTCCAATGGAGACGTTACTGGGCCCGCTCGAGCAAATCGACGATCAACGGGAGGGCCTTTACCTTACCTTTACCTAATGTGTATGTATTTTGTGAGAAAGAGGTGGCAGTAAGAAGGTGAGGGTAGGTTAATGGGGCATTGTTTTATCTCAACAACTTCATTTTAGTGGTTGACTTTTCATTTGAAAAGAACTAATAACTCAGTATTATTTACAGGCATTGATCACCTGATATGTCTTTGTCATCTTGACTGTGCTTAAGTTTTAATTTTTTCCTATAAATGAATGTTTCACTTCCCATAAAATGGGTGAAGTTATGAGGGGATGGTGATTGAAGTTACATGGCATTGGGGGAATGATTGTGAGAATATGCTTCATGGATATTATCACTTATGTTTCCCAATGTTTTCCTATCTTTAGTAGAGATAGTGGATCCAGTGGATATCTATCTTAACCTCCTTCGGAACATCTTTGACTTCAATGCCATCAAGAGTTTGCTGACTGGACCCGGGCAACTGAAGATCCGGATTGATGCTATGCATGGAGGTGAGTGCCTGGTCATCTACCAACTGGGCACCAAGGAAACCAAGACCCATATTGGGATTCAGAGATTCCAAGGAAGTTTAGACTTGTTGATACTCACACATGTGTAAGTTCAGACACTTGGAATGCTCTAGAATTGTTTCCCTCACTCTTTTTAAATATTTACAAATATTGTAGTCACCATAATTTATAGGTTTAGAATACTGTCAATGATAGAGTTTCACGTATACGACATTCCAACATCACACTTCTCACCAAGTGCCCATTTCCTCCCACCATTGCACTCAGGGTCCCCCTTCCCCTCTTTCCTACCATAACACTACCCCTCCCCCTTGACCCTCCATGGGCATCTCACTGCTATGGCATGGTAAGCTCAGTTCTGTAGACCAGTTAGTTCTTAGATGGTTCCACTCTCTATTGTTTATTATTATTATCATTATTATCTTGTTTATTTGGGGGCCACATCAGGCAATGTTCAAAGGTTACTCCTTGCTCTGCACTCAGCAGTTACTCCTGGCACTGCTCAGGGAACCTTTTAGGGTTCCTGTGATTGAACTAGAGTTGGCTGTGAGCAATGCAGTACCCTACTCCTTGTACTGTCACTCTAGCTCCAGTTTCTCCTTTTTTTAAAATAAATTTTTACTAGTGAAACACCATGAGGTACAGTTGTAGACTTACAAATTTTTGTGCTTGGGTTTCAGTTATACAATGATCAAGTACCCATCCCTCCACCAGTGCCCATTTTCTACCACCATGGATCCCAGTGTCCCTCCCACCCCATCCCCCCCATACCACCCTGCCTCTGTGGCAGGGCATTCAATTTCTCCCTTTTTTGTCTTTTTGGGTTACACCTGGCGATGTACAGGGGTTACTCCTGGCTCTGCACTCAGGAATCAGCCCTGGCAGTGCTCAGGGGACCATATGGGATGCTGGGAATCGAACCTGGGTTGGCCACGTGCAAGGCAAACGCCCTACCCACTGTGCTATTGCTCCAGCTCCATTTTCTCCCTTTTTGATACAAATGAAAACAAAGATCGGACGAGTGAGTGTGAGTTTTGTCTGCTAGATTCTGGTACTTACAGTTAAGCTGTAGTCATTAAAATAAAATCGGATCTCAGCATATTTACATAGCTCAAAAGATCAAATTACTCAAATTTCATTATGAAAAAGTTAATCCTTCCCTTCTCCCTCCAGTTTCCAAGTTTCCAGAGGTATTAAAAATTGTCTTTTAAAACTGTTTTCAGTTTTAGTGTGTATCTCCCCATTACTAAATCCAATGAATGTGCTGTTTTTTTTCCAGTTTTAGTCATTACTAACTTCCTACTGTAGAAAGACTTCCTGTTATAGCTTTTCCTCACTCCCACCATGGCTGGTGGTGCTCAGGGGCTTCTCCTGGCTTATTGTTACTCCTGGAGGTGCTTAGGACTGGACTAAGACTTCCTGTATGCAGAGCATGTGTTCCAGTGAATTGAACTATATCTGTGGCCCCAATTGTAGTTCTGTTTCACCTCTCAGAACACTAAATCCAAGCACATTCTCTTATAAGTTATAGCCTCCGTTAGGTAAGATCAGTATTCAGTATCTACATTATCACAGCACTGCTGAGTAGTGCAAAATAACGATAGTCGTGTTTTCTTTACAGTGCAGCTTTGTTACTAGGATTAGTACTTTTCTTGTTTTCTCATTGCTTAGTTTTTGTTAAGTGCATTTATTCCTGTGGAACATATTCTGTGCAGTGTTCTGGACACCTCTGATTGCTGCTCAAGGCCTATGTTGTTTTCTGAGCCTGGTGTTATCTTGGAATCTTTTCTAGTCATTACTCTAGTGACTCCTTTTGACACCCCCCCCCATTTTCTGGTTTCGGGGGCTACTTCTGGCAGTGCTCAGGGATCACTCCTAGCAGGCTCTGGGAATCATATTGGGCGCTGAGGATTGAACTCAGGTTGTTTGCATGCCATGTTCTCTATTTGCTGTACTATTTCTCTGGACCCAATACTAAATATTTTGTTGGGTTCTTTGAACTCAGGTGTAGGGACACACACACCATGGAATTTGCTCTAAAGTATTCCGCTGGCCTATTTTATTCTTTTCCATTGAACTCATCATATGCCCTAGGAAAGATTTTTTTCCTTAGATTTTGCTTAGGATTATCACATAGAGAGAAGACCGCTTCTCTTTCCATTTCCCTGTTTGTATTATTGGGCCAGATCTGAAATCAGTCACTTTCATCTGGGATTGAGGCTACTGATTGGATTGATCTAGATTACCACCTGGCCTTGAGTCAAGTTTACAGCAAAACCATCATGAATTAAGATGGGAAAGGCATTTGTTTTCCAAAGGAAACCCAATATGTGGCATAAGAGAAAATGGGTTTTGGGCAGGCAAAATCAACTTTGTATTGAACTAGTGGAAAACAAGTGGAAAACTTTATATTTCAGTCAATAGGATTGTCTGATAGTCCCAACTATATGATATATTTTATTACAATTTCTGATCCCTTGTTTTTATAATTCTTAACATTTAAGGAACATCCTCTCCAAATGTTTATTCTTCTTTCATGTTCCTTCAGATATGGCCTCTTCTAAAAGCTTTAATTAACCCTCCCTCTCTTTCTCTCTGTTTCTCTCTCATGTCTTTTTGGGTCATATCTGGTGATACTCAGGGATTACTCCTGGCTCTGCACTCAGGAGTTACTCCGGGCAGTGTTCTGGGAACCATATAGGATGCCAGGGATTGAACCCAGGTTCACCGAATGCCAGGCAAATGCCCAACCCTATCGTTCCAGACCCCCAAATTAACCTTCTCGTAATTATTTCATAAATATATATTGGTAAGAGCTTTTCTGATGATTGTAGTCACTTTTATCAACTATTCTGTTGATGGGCTGGAGCAATAGCACAGTAGGTAGGGCCTTTGCCTTGCACATGGTCAACCTGGGTTCGATTCTTCTGCCCCTCTCAGAGAGCTCAGCAAGCTACCGAGAGTATCTTGCCCGCACAGCAGAGCCTGGCAAGCTACTCGTGGTGTATTTGATATGACAAAAACAGTAACAACAAGTCTCACAATTTGTTGTGAGACGTTACTCGTGCCCGCTTGAGCAAATCAATGAACAACGGGAGGACAGTGCTACAGTGCTACCTATAGATGTGACTCATTATATACTAAATTAAGTAATGTAGGAACAGTGGTTTGTAAAAAACAGTCTCCATTACTAATGTGGGAGCTTAATGGAAGATATTCCATAAATGTGTGGACTATTTGTTTTGTTTTGCATTGTGTTGTTTTGGGTCATATCTCACTGTTCTCAGGACTTACTCCTAGCTCTGCACTCAGAACTACTCATTGGTGGTGCTCAGGGAACAGTAATTAGTGCAGGGTAACGAAACCGGGGTCAACCATGTGCCACGCGAGGGCCTTACCTGCTGTGCTATCTCTCCAGCTCTCATACATGTGTGTTGGACTGGAAAACACTGTTCCTTAACATTTAGTTTGTTAAATATTCTTAGTTTTATAAGTTTCAGTGGTTTTCGGTGTTTACTACCACTCTTGGCATAGTGAAAATGATTGCAGAGACAGGGAACAGTTCTAGAGCCTTTTAGTGCTTTTGCATATGTTTAGCTAAAGCTTTTAATATGTAATAAGCACCAGACAATGAGTCATTTTATAAGTAGTTGATTTCTTCCTGGCAACAATTTAGACACGTTTTGTAGAAGAATTTCACAAAACTTGATTACTGGAATATATACTTTCTGTGTTAAAGCAGTAACTGGCACATAGTAGATGTTCAACAAATTTCATTTCATTTCATTTCATTTCATTTCATCATTCTGTTATTTATCGATTGCCTCGAGCAGGCCCCAGTAACGTCTCTTTCATCCTAGCTGTGAGATTATATTCAAGGCTCTTTAGGAGAATGAGACCCATCATTGTTACTGGTATTTGGCATATTTGGTACGCCACGGGGAGTTTGCCAGACTCTGCCCTGTGGGCAGGGTACATTCAATAGCCTGTAAGTTTGTCCAAAGTAGGAATGAGATAATAAGATGTCATAAAAGATGTCCTGATAAGATGTTGCGTGGCCGCGAATGCGGCTGCGTGGTTCCGGGAGCTGGATTTTATAGTCTCTGAGTCTTGGCCATTGATGGGATTACACGGCGCCAGGGGGCCAGGTGGTGGGTGTGACCACCGCCTACTGGAATTTGGAGGATCTGGGTGGAAGATGCTCGACTCCAATCCGAGTAGGCTTGGAGACCTCGGCCCCGGAACCCGCGTGGCTTTGTCCCTCTGCCAGTACCTTCAGGTGTGCGGAGAGTGGTCTCAAATAATACCCCCAAAATAGTGTTCAACAAATAATACCCCAAAAGTATTAATCTGTGTTGTTTTGAAAAATCTAATAGAATTTATCATTTTCCATTCTCTGCTATTAAATTTGCTCTCATGGTCCTAACCACTAAAAAAGTACCCTTTGAGTGTTCTGTAAAATTTAATATTACTGTGTATCTTTTTCTAGTTATGGGACCTTATGTGAGAAAAGTCCTGTGTGATGAGCTGGGCGCCCCAGCCAATTCTGCAATTAACTGTGTTCCCTTGGAAGACTTTGGAGGGCAGCCACCTGACCCAAACTTGACATATGCAACAACCCTTCTGGAAGCCATGAAAGGTGGAGAATATGGGTTTGGAGCTGCATTTGATGCCGATGGGGTGAGTAGGAATGTTTTCTGCCTCATGACTTAAAAAAAACCCATTTCTTCATTTCTTGTCTTTTTTTTCCCAAAAAATATGTTCACCATAGATATTTTTGCTGCATTACTAATTGTCTGCAGGAAATTTTACCACAAAGAGATAGTCAGAACATCAAACAAACAAAAAAAAGCATGGTAAATGTAAATGGAGAAAATGCAAAAATCTAAAGTACAAGATGATGCGAAAAGCAAAAAGTTCAAGACTTGAACACATTTATGAATGAGTCTAGATTTACTGGTTTTCTTGCGAATTATACCTAAATATTTGTTTTCCAAGTCTTTCATTTGTTCCTTGTATTATATGTTTATTTTAATATTCAATATTTGATTAAGCTTACTTGACAGTGTGAAACCAGTTAGTGTAATGGAGAAAGAAAACTAAACAGAAAGCTAGTTAAATACAACAAAAGTTTGTTGAAGATAGTTTTCAGTAGGGAGATAAAACTAGTTAACTGATAGCTCTTTTCTCTCTTACAGAGAAGTTGCCTTCTGGCCAGTTAGTTATGCAGCAAAAAAAATGCTCATGAAAAACTTCCTAGAACCTCTCTTAATATACAGTTAGATAAACATTAGAAACTAGAGAATTAACAAATCTATTATGCATAACACTTAAAGCTTTGTCTCTGCACTGCTTATATGTCTTAATGCAGTTATAGAGTCACAGATTTTCTTAGTTCTAGTTCAGCATAATGCTAGAAAGAGGCATTTCTTTGAAAATTATTTGTGAATTTTGGAGAGCAAGTTGAAGGGTTAACGCCTTGCATGTAGCTGAATCCTGATTCAATCCCCATTACGATCCCCCTATGATACCCCAAGCAATCAAGGATTGATCCCTGGTGCCAGAGTCAGGGGTAAGCTCTGAACAGGTCTAAGTGTGGTTCAAAAACAAAACCAGGTCAGAGCAATATACAATGGGTAGGGCATTTGACTTGCGTGCGACTGAACTGGGTTCAATACCAGGCACCTCACCTGGTCTCCTGATCCCCATCCCGGAGTGATCCCTGAGCACAGAGCCGGGAGTAAGTCCTGAGTACTGCCAGATGTGGTACCCAAAGCAAAAGTAAATAAATAAGCGAGGAAAAGGATTCCTGACGTTAATCTCTATCTGTGACTGGTTTTGTTCAAGACCTCATGGTTAGAAACTAGATATTTCAGCAATAACCCCTGATCCCATTTTGGTCCAGAGTAGGGTGGGGTGGGCAGTGTGGAGAGAGTCAGGATTAAGTATATTGTGAGGTAATTGTGCACAGTGAAACTCGTGGGACACTTTCCTTGTGCCAGTATCCTAGACCCTATAATATTCAAGGCTGTATGAGGGAGGACGTTTCTTGTGCCCTCCAGGGCTTCATCCCAATTGCTTTGGATGGCTTATATATATAGAATGGCAGTGAAGTAAATTGAGATGAATATGGGAATGGACTGTAGTCAGCAGATGTCTCTGTCTGACCATTTTCACGCATTCCTTTTCACAGGACCGTTATATGATCCTTGGCCAAAATGGCTTCTTCGTGAGTCCTTCTGATTCCCTGGCCATTATTGCTGCCAACCTCTCTTGCATTCCGTATTTCCGTCAGATGGGGGTTCGTGGGTTTGGAAGGAGTATGCCCACCAGCACTGCCTTGGATAGGTAAGCACAAAGTTTCTGGAAAATCTTCATGGTAGGCCTCAAGAACAGTGACCCCCTCCATTTGTAGCTGTCACTCATGTTCCTCTGCTACCCTAGGGACTCGTTGGAAGCCTGGGAACTTGGAGATGTGGGAGAGAGAACTGGGAAGGGACATGGAGAATCAGAGGAACTTAATTCTTGACCTGACCACTGATTAGTTGTGGAGACTTGGAAGACTTTTTTTTTTTAATCCCTAGGCTTCAGCATTCTAATCTTTAAAATGAGGAGAAAAATAGCATTATCTTTATGTGGATTGTTTTGAAGAATGAATGTGATTCATGTAAACCATTTGATAGAGTGCCTGGTATAAAGTGAATCCTTCATAAGTGATGACTCATAAAGCCAAATATGGTAAATGAAGTTGAAAGAACAAGGGTTTTGAGGTTAAATAATGGTATGTTAAATACTAGTTGTATAGTTACTAGTGCCTTGAAACAGGGATTATAGATTTGTTGTGTGAATAGAATGATATTTGTTTGCAAGTGTCCCATAGGAGATCCACTTACTAGGTAATATATTCGTGTTCATTCAGTTTTTGGCCACAGCAGGCAGTGTTCAAAGCTTGCTCTTAGCTCTACACTCAGAGATCACTCATGGTAGCCTTGAGGGACCATACCAGGGTGTGAAGGATTAAACTCAGGTTGGCCGAGTGCAAGAAATTCCCCCACCTGGTGTACTATCTCTCCAGCGCCTCATTGCTAATATCTTTTTTAATTTGTCTAATAAATGGGTCCATTCCACCAGCTGTGTTATCACCCTGCCATGTGAATTCTTATACACTTCTTATCATGAAGACATTTTCATTTCTCCTGGGTAAATATCTAGAAATTGAATGCTGGTCTCAGGGCTGATGGTTGCTTAACTTATAAGAAGTTTATAAGAAGTTGCCCAACTGTTTTCCATTTTAAACTCTTATTTGCAATGTTCTAGTTCTTTCTTATCTTCATCAGTATTTGGTGTTGTCTGCCTTTTTAATTTTAGCCATTCTAGTGAGTTAGTTTATTTCTTCATATACTACTTATTTCATTAAGTTTTGGGTTTTGCATCACCTCAGTGGCTAGTGAGGCTGAGATCAAATTCATATGCTTTTTTTGTGTAACCGTTTTGGTTATGTGTTCCAAACGTATTTGTTCATTAAAAAATCAAGTTGTTTTTTGGGTAATGGTTTATATAAGTTCTTTCTGTTTTATAGTAAGTTTTTTTAGATAATATGAATTGCAAATGTTTTCTCCCTGCCTTTTCATATTTTAATGATATATTTTGACAAGAAATTTGTTATTTTTTAGGTGTGTCAACAATATCTAGGGATAGTGAAGTTACTCCAAATGGGAATCAGGGACTTCCAGGACCACACCCATATTCTCAAGCCAGTTCTCAAAAAGCCATGTGGTGTTCGGAATTAAATCCAGGGCCTCACACATGCCAGGCACATGCTCTATCACTAAAACCACATTCCCAGACCAAGAAGTTTTACATTTTGATGCATTATAATTAGTACTTTGTATGGCTAGTTTACAGTTTGTATTGTCTATAAAATATTTTCTTATCCCAGAGTTAGAATTTTCTCAGTTTTCTTTTAGAAGCACTGCCATTTTGATTTTTACATTTAAGTCTAAGATGATATTTGAGTTAGTATTTGTTGAGTGTAAGTTAGAGGCTATACTCCTGTCAAGTTGTTTCAACATCATTGATTGGAAACAATTTGTTTTTCCTTTGATGGCTTTATTAAAAATCAGTTTTAGGTATATTACAGATTCTTTATTCTGTTTCATTTAGCTATTTGTTTATTTTCATACCAATGTTGTTTGCCTTTTTTGTTTACATTTTAATGTATTTTGAGGTGGTATCAAAATCTGATTAATTTCCAACTCTTTTTTTTTCTTCTTTACATATACATAGATATGTTTCCACACAGATATATTCTGCATTTCTATTTTTAAGATCAGATTGTCAATATCTAACAATGCTTGTTGTGATTTTGATTGTATTAAATCCGTAGAGAAAATTGGGAAGAATGGTGTTTTAATAATATTGACATTTACAGTCAATTAGCACCTGGTAATTCCTTCAATTTTTAAAAATATTTATTTATTTATTTATAAAATTTTATTGAATCACCGTGAGATAGTTACAAGCTTTCATGTTTGGGTTACAATCACACGACGATCAAACACCCATCCCTCCACCAGTGCACATTCCCCACCACCAATATTCCCGGTATACCCCCCCTTACCCAACCCCCCTGCCTCCATGGCAGACATGATTCCCCAAAATCTCTCTCTACTTTTGGGCATTATGGTTTGCAATACAGACCCTAAGAGGTTATCATGTTTGGTCCTTGATCTTCTTTCTGCACACATCTCCTATCCCGACCGATTCCTCCAGCCATCTTTTCCTTAGCGATCCCTTCTCTTTAATTTCTCTCACACATTTTGCAGTTTAATTTCTATTACCTACATTTATAGTTTAGCATAATAATATCATTCAATTAAAATTATTTGTGAGTATTTTATATACTTTGATGCTATTGTAAAAGAAGAGTTTTGATAAATTTATTTTTCCAATTCTTTGCTGCTACAAATTAGTAATACAGTGGTATTTTATAATTTAACCTTGTGTTCTCCCAACAGAGGCATACTTTTGGATGCCTCCCACTTTACCAGTATTATTCAGATGTTATTAAGTTGAGAATGATGTAGCGAACTCGGCTGAAAAATTTTGTCCAGGTGGGATAGAGTACAGCAGCCTTGTATGCCGCCAACCCGGGTTCATCCTCTGCAGCCCATACAATCTCTTGAGTGATCCTTCAGCATGTTGGGTGTGACCCCCAAGCCAAAACAGAGGGTATATCATTACATTCCCTGCATTTTTTCCCTTACATCCTTCATTGATATAAAATTAATGAAACTGTAGAGTCTCCTGCCCCCACTCCTGGCTGTCCTCCCTGGGGCCCTTTGGAGGGGGGCGGGTTGAGTTTCCCTCCCCGCCCCGACCAGAGCTCCGGCAGCCAAAGACCTCCAGAACCAGCCACCACCATGTTGAGACCACTCTCCACACGCATGAAGGAACTGGCAGAGGAACAAAGGCATGTGGGTACTGGGGCTGAGCTCTCCAAGCCTGCTCGGATCAGGGCTGAGCATCCTCCACCCAGATCCTCCATCTTCCAGTAGGCAGGGGTCACACCCACCAACTGGCCCCCTGGCGCCATGTAATCCTATCAACGGCCAAGACTCAGAGACTATAAAACACAGCTTCTGGAAGACATCTTATTATCTCATTCTTACTTTGGACAACCTGGCAGGCTACCGAATGTAACCTGCCCACCCGGCAGAGTCTGGCAAACTCCCCGTGGCGTACCCAATATGCCAAATACCAGTAACAATGATGGGTATCATTCTCCTAACCCTGAAAAAGCCTTGAATATGACACTTTTTCAAATCTCAGGGTTAGGGTGAAGGAGACGTTACTGGTGTCTGCTCGAGGCAATCGACGAACAACAGGATGATCGTGATCGTGATCGTGATCGTAGAGATCCAGGGAACAGCAGGCCATTTCTCAACATAGCCTTATTATGAAATTTAGAACTCTGTCAGACAGTTGATCTCATATGAGTTTTTCAATAATTTAGCAAGGTAACTGGGTAGCATTATTTTCATCACTTATCAGAAGAAACTTGCATAAGCTCCTGAGTAGCTCACAAGAAAGTGACCCAGGATTTGAAAGTAGTTTTTTGCATCTGCCCAGTTATTCAGGTTGATTGCTGAGAAAACGAGTTGAGTATATTATCCAAATTTGCTGTTTGAGTGGCCAGCAACTTTCCAACTCCTGCCCAGGAGAGACTGGCTTTATTCTGTCAACAAAAACCATTTGTCCTCTTTTCTTGTGGAAATTTCCCAGTGGTTCTTGATTTCACTTTATGAGCCCTTTCCAATAAATCTCTGTTTCGGTCAGAAACCAGAGGCCTTGCTTAGAAATTTCACAAAGGACCTGTTCTGATATGTAAGCATCCATCTAAAAGGATTATTCATGCTTGCTGGTTGGGATTCAGAATTCTGTGGGGCTCTGACGTGGTGATTTGTTTTGGGCATTTGATCTGTTGTGTGGCTCCCGTGTGGATTCTCATGATGGACATCTTAAAAGCTTCTTTCTTTCTAGGTGAAATAAATGTAGTTTCAAAATCTTATCTTGATAATGTTTCCCATTGAGGTTTTGTAAAAAAAAACTTTCATAAAATCAGAGGACTGTGCCCATAAAAATGCCAGGTCCCAGAGGAATTATGAGAGTCTGAGACATATCCAATGGTGAACTTGCCTAAAATCTTGCAATTCCAGAATCAGGGAGGTATGTACCTCTGAAACTGATGAATTATTCACACAAACTGTCATTGTTCACAGATAATTTCTGTTTCCCCCCCAGAATAGATTTTCAGTGTCTTTAATTTCTACTTTTTTACTGTGTCACTTCAACAAGGATTCCATTCACCCTGGAATAATAGTCTCAGCCTTGAAAATGGCATTCTTTTGGGACTTGGTCATTCTGAGTGTGTCTGATACGTGATTATAGATGAGACTGTTGCTGAAATCATTTTGGTACAAATGATTTGAGAAATAAAGCACACTCAAAGTACATTTGTGGCCCAAAGTCTGTCACCACCCCACGTGGAGGTATTAAATAATCCTCTGTGTCATCATCCTTCAATAATATTTATGGAGCACCCATCTGTGCTTGGGGCCATGCCGAACGCTATGCAAAACAAGGTAAAAACATGCAGACTTCAGTTCTTCTCATTAGAGATATTTACAGTCTCAGGAAAGGCTAGCATCTTTGAATATAATGCATGACTCCAGATCTGAAAAGTATCATTTAACTATAAGCAAAAAAAGCCATACACAAGGTCCACCATTTATAAATATGATTGTGAAGGAGTTCATGTTCTTCTACTCACAATTTACTCTTTGTGC